GCATGTCTTCTAGAATATTCCTTTTGAATCTGTAAATTGAACGAAGCAGACGCAAAGATTTTTTAAAACCCACCCTCCCTCCCCTTAATTTTATATTTTATCCCCCTTTAGCACCTCTGCCATTCTTCTAATGCATTTTCATTACAACTGGGTTTTTTTTCCGGTTGTTTTTTCGTTTTCTTTTAATTTCTCGTTTCAGCGTCATGGCATGGATCGAATCTTGAATAGGATCCACCAGCTTGTTGATGTGCTTTGCGGACCTTCGATGTTGATGTGCTTTGCGGACCTTCAATGTTCCAGTTGCGTGTGGCTATTGACTTTGTTAGGCATAATTTTGCAAAGAATGCTGTCTCCGGGGGGTACTGTTTTTTCCAGACTCCTTGGATCAAGGTGGTATTTCTCTTGCTCATCATCTATATTCATTTACCTATGCTGCCATATAATCATAATGATCGGCGCATACATTGTGTTATATCTAATTTATTATTAAATGGCCATGACAAGCACGCCAAAACAAATAAAGTCTTCTTTTTATTGACTGTATTTTCAGACTTCGTAAACCTTTTACTGGGGTTAATCTGATCAAGTTTGTTTCTGTTATTGTCTTGGTCCAATGTCACGAAATAACTGTATGAAAAGTAACTGAAAAGAGAATTAGTCGAAATGGTTAGAATAGATTCGGAAAGACCACCCCTCAACCAATGCATATCAAAGAGAACCAGATATGACGGTATTTAATGAGACTTCATTTATTTTTAGTTTGGTTTCAAAATATGTGTAACAGCTATCTTCTTAAACTCCATCAAAAATACATTATGCTTGCTGGAAAACATTTTAGATCATCCAGAAGGATTTAGTAACAATGCTAAAAGTCCATTACACAAGGATGGCCAAAAAAATTAACCTTTTACATTTCACTTTGGTAGTCATGAATTTCATTAAATGAGATATCAGATTGAAATTTATAATGTTCAACCCAAGTCCTTCAATACTTCAAAGGTAAACAGCCAATATTTCAGAAGATTGTGCTGAATTTTCTAGTAATGTGCAAAGTCTCATATTAATTAAATGGGACAACCTTCTGTTTTTTGAAGCAAATAAAACCAAAGGCATAAAGGGCTTGAGAGTCATCTGACTCAACTCACACTCTTTTCTCAACTTTGAGAGATATACAAAGATGATATTTTAAAGGATGATAAATGTAGTGTTTTGTCATACAGACAGTTGTACAGACAATGATTGAGATATAAGTATGACACTGACCAGATCTGTTTATTGTCATACAGACAGTTAGACAGACAATGATTGAGATATAAGTATGACACTGACCAGATCTGTTTATTGTCATACGGACAGTTAGACAGACAATGATTGAGATATAGGTATGACACTAACCAGATCTGTTTCCTGTCATACAGACAGTCAGACAGACAATGATTGAGATATAAGTATGACACTGACTGCTTTCCTGTCATACAGACAGTCAGACAGACAATGATTGAGATATAAGTATGACACTAACCAGATCTGTTTCCTGTCATACAGATCAGACAGACAATGATTGAGATATAAGTATGACACTGACCAGACCGGTTTCCTGTCATACAGACAGTTAGACAGACAATGATTGAGATATAAAAATGACACTGACCAGATCTGTTTCCTGTCATACAAACAGATAGACAGACAATGATTGAGATATAAGTATGACACTGATCGGATCTGTTTCCTGTCATACAAACAGTTAGACAGACAATGATTGAGATATAAAAATGACACTGACCAGATCTGTTTCCTGTCATACAAACAGACAGACAACAATTGAGATATAAGTATGACACTGATCGGATCTGTTTCCTGTCATACAAACAGTTAGACAGACAATGATTGAGATATAAAAATGACACTGACCAGATCTGTTTCCTGTCATACAGATACACAGACAGACAATGACTGAGATATAAGTATGACACTGACCAGATCTGTTTCCTGTCATACAGACAGTTAGACAGACAATGATTGAGATATAAGTATGACACTGACCAACCAGTTTCCTGTCATACCAACAGTAAGACAGGCAATGATTGAGATATAAGTATGACACTGACCAGACCTGTTTCCTGTCATACAGATACACAGACAGACAATGATTGAGATATAAGTATGACACTGACCAGATCTGTTTCCTGACATACAGACAGTTAGACAGACAATGACTGAGATATAAGTATGACACTGACCAGACCTGTTTCCTGTCATACAAACAGACAGACAATGATTGAGATATAAGTATGACACTGACCAACCAGTTTCCTGTCATACCGACAGTTAGACAGGCAATGATTGAGATATAAGTATGACACTGACCAGACCTGTTTCCTGTCATACAGACAGATAGACAGACAATGATTGAGATATAAGTATGACACTGACCAGATCTGTTTATTGTCATACAGACAGATAGACAGACAATGATTGAGATATAAGTATGACACTGACCAGATCTGTTTCCTGTCATACAGACAGTTAGACAGACAATGATTGAGATATAAGTATGACACTGACCAGACCTGTCTCCTGTCATACAGACAGATAGACAGACAATGATTGAGATATAAGTATGACACTGACCAGATCTGTTTATTGTCATACGGACAGTTAGACAGACAATGATTGAGATATAAGTATGACACTGACCAGACCTGTTTCCTGTCATACAGACAGATAGACAGACAATGATTGAGATATAAGTATGACACTGATCAGATCTGTTTCCTGTCATACAGACAGATAGACAGACAATGATTGAGATATAAGTATGACACTGACCAGATCTGTTTATTGTCATACAGACAGATAGACAGACAATGATTGAGATATAAGTATGACACTGATCAGATCTGTTTCCTGTCATACAGACAGATAGACAGACAATGATTGAGATATAAGTATGACACTGACCAGATCTGTTTCCTGTCATACAGACAGATAGACAGACAATGATTGAGATATAAGTATGACACTGACCAGACCTGTTTCCTGTCATACAGACAGATAGACAGACAATGATTGAGATATAAGTATGACACTGACCAGATCTATTTCCTGTCATACAGACAGATAGACAGACAATGATTGAGATATAAGTATGACACTGACCAGATCTATTTCCTGTCATACAGACAGATAGACAGACAATGACTGAGATATAAGTATGACACTGACCAGACCTGTTTCCTGTCATACAGACAGTTAGACAGACAATGATTGAGATATAAGTATGACACTGACCAGACCTGTTTCCTGTCATACAGACAGTTAGACAGACAATGATTGAGATATAAGTATGACACTGACCAGATCTGTTTCCTGTCATACAGACAGATAGACAGACAATGATTGAGATATAAGTATGACACTGATCAGATCTGTTTCCTGACATACAGACAGATAGACAGACAATGATTGAGATATAAGTATGACACTGATCGGATCTGTTTCCTGTCATACAAACAGTTAGACAGACAATGACTGCGATATAAGTATGACACTATAACCATATCTGTTTCCTGTCATACAGACAGATAGACAGACAATGACTGAGATATAAGTATGACACTGATCGGATCTGTTTCCTGTCATACAAACAGTTAGACAGACAATGACTGAGATATAAGTATGGCACTGACCAGATCTGTTTCCTGTCATACAGACAGTTAGACAGCAATGATTGAGATATAAGTATGACACTGACCAGATCTGTTTCCTGTCATAAAGACAGTTAGACAGACAATGATTGAGATATGTATGACACTGAATGGACCGGTGTTCTGACATACAGACAGATAGACAGACAATGATTGAGATATAAGTATGACACTGACCAGACCTGTTTCCTGACATACAGATACACAGACAGACAATGACTGAGATATAAGTATGACACTGACCAGACCTGTTTCCTGTCATACAGACAGTTAGACAGACAATGATTGAGATATGTATGACACTGAATGGACCGGTGTTCTGACATACAGACAGATAGACAGACAATGATTGAGATATAAGTATGACACTGAATGGACCGGTGTTCTGACATACAGACAGATAGACAGACAATGATTGAGATATAAGTATGGCACTGACCAGATCTGTTTCCTGTCATACAGACAGTTAGACAGCAATGATTGAGATATAAGTATGACACTGACCAGATCTGTTTCCTGTCATACAGACAGATAGACAGACGACAATGATTGAGATATAAGTATGACACTGACTGGAACGTGTCCTGACATACAGACAGATAGACAGACAATGATTGAGATATAAGTATGACACTGACCAGATCTGTTTCCTGACATACAGACAGATAGACAGACAATGATTGAGATATAAGTATGACACTGACTGGACCGGTGTTCTGACATACAGACAGATAGACAGACAATGATTGAGATATAAGTATGACACTGACCAGATCTGTTTCCTGTCATACAGACAGATAGACAGACAATGATTGAGATATAAGTATGACACTGACCAGATCTATTTCCTGTCATACAGACAGATAGACAGACAATGATTGAGATATAAGTATGACACTGAATGGACCGGTGTTCTGACATACAGACAGATAGACAGACAATGATTGAGATATAAGTATGGCACTGACCAGATCTGTTTCCTGTCATACAGACAGATAGACAGACAATGATTGAGATATAAGTATGACACTGACCAGATCTATTTCCTGTCATACAGACAGATAGACAGACAATGATTGAGATATAAGTATGACACTGAATGGACCGGTGTTCTGACATACAGACAGATAGACAGACAATGATTGAGATATAAGTATGACACTGAATGGACCGGTGTTCTGACATACAGACAGTTAGACAGCAATGATTGAGATATAAGTATGACACTGACCAGATCTGTTTCCTGTCATACAGACAGATAGACAATGATTGAGATATAAGTGTGACACTGACCAGACTGATTTCCTGTCACTTGGTCATACTGGTCCAGAATATCATCCAGACTATCCAGAGATTCCTGCAAAGCTGCTTCTCTGAAAAACACAAATATACAGCTACATTAACACCTTATAACTTATCAATATCTGAAAAGAATAAGAGAGGAAATGCTTTTCTTTAGCATATTCATTTCTTTTAATAGACGAGCATCAAAAGAATGCTGGAATTGAAAAGTTGTCATCAGAGTTGTCCCTCTTTCAGCATCACAAGTTATCAAATTCAAAAGGTTAGACCAGATTATGTTTGACTGAACTATAAAAATAGCTTTATGAGCATGCTTTAGCTTTTTCTCTTCTTACCTACTAATTTCTAAAAAATTATTTCCACTTTGTCCAATTAGAATGAACACTAATTACATTAAAACATGCAAATATAAAATGAGTAGACTCTGCTCCTAGCTTACACCAAATGGCTTTAAACTTATTCAAAACTTAATGGATGTCTTACTATACAGTGATGTGATTTATTTTTCTTTACAATTTGAAGCCGTGTTTTTCAGTTTGGTTGTTTTTTTTTATTTTAAACTCAACATAAAAAATTATCAACCTTTCCCTGAATCAATTCTCACTGATTAACAATTAAAGATGACTGTATTTGAATTTTATATCTAACCCTGTTGTCTTTGTAGAAAACAAAAGAAGATTTTGCTCACACATTTCTTCATAAAAGGCCTCAATTGTTACCATTTGTGTCCTGAACACAATCAGGGATTAATCTAAAGGCATATTAACCACCGATATTCATTATTTTTCCCCAAAAGAAACCTCCCCCTGAATATCCCATTTTCCCCTTTTGATGACAGAGTAAAAAATTTCTTTGACAATGATAAACATAAAAACTCAAATAAATTTTTCCTTCCTAAAAAATGGAAATTTAAAGTAAAAATGTTCAGAAGATGTAAAATATGATTTTCATTTGCTAATTTACCCACTCTAAATGATCATAAAAATGATGAAATTCAGTTGGGTCCCCCAATATTATGCTCGCCCTGCACCCTCTGGAGATCTGGAGTGGCCCCCAGCCCTCCTTCTGAATTTCCCAATTTCTCCAGAAAGGGTAGTTTCCCCCAAAACCTAAATTTTATCCCTTACCATGGACTTAAGAATTTTAAACCAACACAAATATATCTGCACTTAGATTTGACAATTTGGATCTCTCATTTCTCAAGAACACCAGCACCATTCTGATTTACTCTTTAGGACTCTTACTCTGAGTTTACTGGATTCTTGTGAACTTTGACCTCATCATGTTCCTGCTGAAACTGTATCCAGGAAGTCACCTTATCATGCTGGAGTGCCATCTGGTGACACATTTCTTGGACTTTTGTTTCATTCTTCACCATAGAAATTCTCTGAAGCTCAGCAAATTTTTTCTTGGCCAAATATCTTCTGATAGCTTTAAAAACAATATTGAATCTCAAAATCTTTGGAAAGGCAGATTATATAACATTAAGAAATTGTTTAACTCATCAAAATTCAGACTGTCAGACATGCTCATTTTTGCTCTTTTATACTTTGAAAATTAATTGAAATACAAAATTTGACTATTGACTTAAAATTTACAAAAATCTATATATGATGACTTTGATTGACAGAGATGACAAATAGGTGTTGGTGTACTGTGGCTTTATCAATATTCTTTGAGCATCAATTTTCGAGGAATTTGTTGTTTAGCAGATCCACAAAATTAAATGTTCATTGACTTAAGAAATATGTTATTCATTTGTATAGGCAATGTTTTTATCCACAAAATTACATATCCTTGAAAACGGTCTTTTTACAAAATACACAAAAATTGCTGCCAATGAAAATTGATAAAACCACAGTATCTGAAAAGGATCTGATCCTGGACTATGATGACCTTGACCTATTTGACCTTGACTAAAATAACCCTCCCATACCTGACTGACAAAGGACAATTTTCTTCTTTACTTCATTGGACACTTGGTCAATTTTCCTTAAATCTTCCTCATGGAAAAACACCTTAGATTTTCCTATCTGTGAAGATTCAAAGATTAAACATAAATTAATAACATTTGAAAATTATATTATTAATCATTACAGAGATTCAAGAGCACAGCACGACAAAGTTTGCATTAATTAAGGTTCAATGACCCTCAGACAAGAGATAACCCTCTTAGCATTTATGGCCAAAAAAAATTCAAATAGGTGATTTCTGTCAATTTTGCATCAAAAGGTAATCTGAAATTGGTTATTATAATTTTAATTTTCATATTTTTTTTATAAAACACCACAAAAGCAAAAAGTTTACAGGTGTAAACAGATTGAGGGATTATTAATCTTGAGAGATATACAAGGAATTAAGTTCATGTGATGCATTTGTCTTTTTATTTATAAAAAACAAAATTTCAATCCCTGTGGGAAAATGCTCCAAGCAATACAAATTTTTGGGGAATATGTCATCTTGTGAACTTTTAAAAAATTTATTTAATATTCATAATTTCCTTTTTAATTTATTTATTTATTTTTATACTTTTCCTTTTTTTTTTTTTTTTTTTTTGGCAAAATAACTAGCTGAAACTTTCTAACAAGTTTATGAAACCCACAGATTTTTTCCAAACAATTCTGATAAATCAGGAACTCCTATACAGACAATAGTTGTGTTACCTTGTGACTGGCAGAGTTTGTATTGAGTCCACAGTAGCGGATGACTTCCTGACATTTCTGTTCGTCGGGGATCATGCTGTGAGGTGGTACAAGGAAGGTCCTCAGTGTCTCATACCTGTCGCCACATAGCAAAATAACTTTAATATAGGTGGCAGATAAGGAAACAAAGTTTCTGTTTTTTAAAACAAAGGAAAAAAATTAAAATAGAATCTTAATCTTCTGTTTTCTTTTCATACTGATTTTTTTACAGCAAGCTACATGACTGATCATATCCAATTTTATATTCTGTGAAGATTCAAAGATTAAACATAAATATTCAAAATTATCATGAAAATTATATTTTAATCATTACAGCAAATTCAAGAGCACAGCACACAAAGTTTGCATTAATTAAGGTTCAATGACCCTCAGACAAGAGATAACCCTCTTAGCATTTATGGCCAAAAAAAATTCAAATAGGTGATTTGAAATCTGTCAATACCCCATCAAAAGGTAATCTGAAATTGGTTATTATAATTTTAATTTTCATATTTTTTTTATAAAACACCACAAAAGCAAAAAGTTTACAAGTGTAAACAAATTGAGGGATTATTAATCTTGAGAGATATACAAGAAATTAAGTTCATGTGATGCATTTGTCTTTTTATTTATAAAAAACAAAATTTCATATATTTCTGTGTAAAATTTGCTTTCCCAGCAATACAAATTTTTGGGGAATATGTCATCTTGTGAATTTTTAAAAAATTTATTCAATATTCATAATTTCCTTTTTTATTTCAGTTTTTTATTTAGTGGTTCTTTATTTTTTTATTTTTTTTTTTTACAAAATAACTAGTGAAACTTTCTAACAAGTTTATGAAACCCACAGATTTTTTCCAAACAATTCTGATAAATCAAGAACTCCTATACTTCCAATAGTTGTGTTACCTTTCTCTGGCAGAGTTTGTATTGAGTCCAAGATTTTCAAAGATTTTTCCTATATATTTCTGTGTAAAACATTGATTCATGCTGTGAGGTGGTACAAGGAAGGTCCTGAGTGTCTCATACCTGTGCTTTCACATAGCAAAATAACTTTAATATGGTGGCAGATAAGGAAACAAAGTTTTTTTTTTAAAACAAAGGAAAAAAATTAAAATAGAATCTTAATCTTCTGTTTTCTTTTCATACTGATTTTTTTACAGCAAGCTACATGACTGATCATATCCAATTTTATATTCTGGAGATAAAGTTTACCGTCAATACAATATTCAAAATTATCATGACAATATCCAACATATAATGTACAGCAAAATTTAAAAAAAAACACTATAACTAAAGAAAAAAGTAAAAGGAATGGTTAAATAGTTAATGAAGTTTTTGGTACTACCAGGTAACTAAAAAGTCACGCAAGTCAGGAGTAGCATTTATGGTGACGCTGCAACTTTTTTTCTATACACAACTTGAAAATCCCTGTACTTGAGTAGAAGTATTCATTGTTAACTGAGCAGTATCTATAATGGTAACCATTTTAATTTCTCCTAATATTTACATTTCTATAAAGTCCCTGAACTTTAGTTGAGAACAATATTCATGGTAACCATATTATTTTCCTTACTTAAGTCAGGAGCAGTATCCACGGTAACCCTGGTTAACCCTGGTTAATGCTTAGTCAGGAACAGTATCCATGGTAACCCTGGTTAATACTTATACTACAAGGAAATCCCTGTACTTGAGTCAGGAACAGTATCCATGGTAACCCTGGTTAATACTTGCACTACTAGGAAATCCCTGAACTTGAGTCAGGAACAGTATCCATGGTAACCCTGGTTAATACTTACACTACTAGGAAATCCCTGAACTTGAGTCAGGAACAGTATCCATGGTAACCCTGGTTAATACTTACATTACTAGGAAATCCCTGAACTTGAGTCAGGAAAGTATCCATGGTAACCCTGGTTAATACTTACACTACTAGGAAATCCCTGAACTTGAGTCAGGAACAGTATCCATGGTAACCCTGGTTAATACTTACACTACTAGGAAATCCCTGAACTTGAGTCAGGAACAGTATCCATGGTTACCCTGGATAATACTTACACTACTAGGAAATCCCTGAACTTGAGTCGGGAGCAGTATCCATGTTTCTTGATCTTGATCGTCTCTGTGATCCCGGTGTACCTCATCTGAGCCAGCACATATTCCGGGACAAAATGGAGGGGTTTCCTGTCAATGTTGGGTCTGATACAGCGTATTATCCGTGGAGTGGCTGTCTGGATCTTTGTCATCAAGTCTGATAAGGAGTTCTAAAATACAGGAATTTGTTCAGGATCAAATTGACATTGGTATTGTGTACTGTAAAGAACTCTTCTAAACTCATCTCATAGATCTTAATTTCTTTTTTTTCACATATATTGATTATACGAGAGTTAATTGATCCAAAAGTAATGTCACTGTGTCTGTATCTTTAATACTTGGCATCATATTATCAAATATAATGTATCAAAAGATGCATAAAAATAAATCTAATCAAAATTGAAAATTTCATTTCATAATGTTTACCGTAATTCATTTTATAGATGTTTAAAACATTAAACATAGGGGTGTTGCCGCGTCACAACTAAATGTCACGTTTTAAAGTGTAGTTTGTTGGAATGAAAAAAGACAGACACATTTAAAAAAGCATCTTAAAAAGCATCTAATCCACCAAACATTTGAAAGACAAAATTTACTACATTTTCTAGTCTTTAATTAAACCAGAAGTCTCTGTCGAGACTGAAGCTCTACTGGTTTGTACTTATAGCAAAGGAAGAGAAAAGTACTTAAGCAGTTGGAAATTGAAACTTTTCAACAGCAATAAACAGAATAATGATCCTTGCTTAAGTCTCTTTATGTTCTTAGTGTAGTCTACTTGCATGCCACATTATATTATAATCAGACTAAAATTGTATTTGGAATAGCATTTTGAGAGTATTTAACAGAAATTTCTATTTTTAATAACCATGGCAACACCATTCATTGAAGTGAAAAACTGATACACAGAATTATGTATCTTAGTGTAGTCTACTTGTGTGCCATTTTGATGAGATTCCCTAGAGTTATATTGAAATCAGACCAAAACTGTAGGAGGAGTAGCATTTTGAAAAAAATTCACAGAAACTTCTATTTTAGTAACCACAGCAACACCGTTCAACAAAATCAAAAACCAATTTAAAGAATTATCTATCTTAGTGTAGTCTACTTGTGTGCCAAGTAATATTGAAATCAGACCAAAACTGTAGGAGAAGTAGCATTTTGATTGAATTTCACAGAAATTTCTATTTTTAGTAACCACGGCAACACCGTTCATCAAAATCAAAAACCGATACACAGAATTATGTATCTTAGTGTAGTCTACTTGTGTGTCAAGTTATATTGAAATCAGACCAAAACTGTAGGAGGAGTAGCATTTTGAAAGAATTTCTAAGAAATTTCTATTTTTAGTAACCACGGCAACATCGTTCATCTAAATCAAAAACCGATATACAGAATTATGTATCTTAGTGTAGTCTACTTGTGTGTCAAGTTATATTGAAATCAGACCAAAACTGTAGGAGGAGTAGCATTTTGAAAGAATTTCTAAGAAATTTCTATTTTTAGTAACCACGGCAACACCATTCATCGAAATCAAAAACCAATACACAGAATTATGTATCTTAGTGTAGTCTACTTGTGTGCCAAGTTATATTGAAATCAGACCAGAACTGTAGGAGGAGTAGCATTTTGAAAGAATTTCTAAGAAATTTCTATTTTTAGTAACCACGGAAACACCGTTCATCGAAATCAAAAACCAATACACAGAATTATGTATCTTAGTGTAGTCTACTTTGTGCCCAAGTTATATCGAAATCTGACCAAAACTGTAGGAGGAGTAGCATTTTGAATGATTTTCACAAAAAATTCTATTTTTAGTAACAACGGCAACACCGTTCATCGAAATCAAAAACCGATACAAAGAATTATGTATCTTAGTGTAGTCTACTTGTGTGCCAAGTTATATTGAAATCTGACCAAAACTGTAGGAAGAGTAGCATTTTGAATGATTTTCACAAAAAATTCTATTTTTAGTAACAACGGCAACAACGTTCATCGAAATCAAAAACTGATACACAGAATTATGTATCTTAGTGTAGTCTACTTGTGTGTCAAGTTATATTGAAATCAGACCAAAACTGTAGGAGGAGTAGCATTTTGAAAGAATTTCTAGGAAATTTCTATTTTTAGTAACCATGGCAACATCGTTCATCGAAATCAAAAACCGATATATAGAATTATGTATCTTAGTGTAGTCTACTTGTGTGCCAAGTTATATTGAAATCTGACCAAAACTGTAGGAGGAGTAGCTTTTTGAATGATTTTCACAAAAAAATTCTATTTTTAGTAACAACGGCAACACCGTTCATCGAAATCAAAAACCGATATACAGAATTATGTATCTTAGTGTAGTCTACTTGTGTGTCAAGTTATACTGAAATCAGACCAAAACTGTAGGAAGAGTAGCATTTTGAAAGAATTTCTAAGAAATTTCTATTTTTAGTAACCACGGCAACACCATTCATCGAAATCAAAAACCGATTCACAGAATTATGTACTTGTATGCCAGGTTATATTGAAATCAGACCAAAACTGTAGGAGGAGTAGCATTTTGAAAGAATTTCTAAAAAATTTCTATTTTTAGTAACCACGGCAACACCATTCATTGAAATCAAAAACCGATATACAGAATTATGTATCTTAGTGTAGTCTACTTGTGTGCCAAGTTATATTTAAATCAGACCAGAACTGTAGGAGGAGTAGCATTTTGAAAGAATTTCACAGAAATTTCTACTTTTAATAACAACGCCAAGACCGTTCGTCGAAATCAAAAACCGATAAACAGAATTATGTATCTTAGTGTAGTCTACTTGTGTATCAAGTTATACTGAAATCAGACCAAAACTGTAGGAGGAGTAGCATTTTGAAAGAATTTCTAAGAAATTTCTATTTTTAGTAACCACGGCAACACCGTTCATCAAAATCAAAAACCGATACACAGAATTATGTATCTTAGTGTAGTCTACTTGTGTGCCAAGTTATCTTGAAATCAGACCAAAACTGTAGGAGGAGTAGCATTTTGAAAGAATTTCTAAGAAATTTCTATTTTTAGTAACAACGACAACACCTTTAATCGAAATCAAAAACCAATACACAGAATTATGAACCTTAGTGTAGTCTACTTGTGTGCCAAGTTATATTGAAATCAGACCAAAACTGTAGGAGGAGTAGCATTTTGAAAAATTGTTTACAGACAGACAGACTTTCAGGACAGACAGACAGACAGACGGACGGAAATGAAACAACTAAGTAGCAAAATATATGAAATATCTTTCAGTATCGCATAAGCTCTTCTGGTCTCTGACCAGTAGAGCTAAAAACACCAATGCACAGAATTATGTATCTTAGTGTAGTCTACTTGTGTGCCAAGTTATACTGAAATCAGACCAAAACTGTAGGAGGAGTAGCATTTTGAAAGAATTTCACAGAAATTTCTATTTTTAGTAACCATGGCAACATTGTTCATTGAAATCAAAAACCGATGCACAGAATTATGTATCTTAGTGTAGTCTACTTGTATGCCAAGTTATATCAAAATCAGACCAAAACTGTAGGAGGAGTAGCATTTTGAAAGAATTTCACAGAAATTTCTACTTTTAGTAACCACGGCAACACCGTTTATCGAAATCAAAAACCGATGCATAGAATTATGTATCTTAGTGTAGTCTACTTGTGTGCCAAGTTATACTGAAATCGTACCAAATCTGTAGAAGGAGTAGCATTTTGAAAGAATTTCAAAGAAATTTCTATTTCTAGTAACCAAGGCAACACCATTCATCGAAATCAAAAACCGATGCACAGAAATTATGTATCTTTGTGTAGTCTACTTGTGTGCCAAGTTATAATGAAATTGGACCAAAACTGTAGGAGGAGTAGCATTTTGAAAGAATTTCACAGAAATTTCTATTTTTAGTAACCACGGCAACACCGTTTATCGAAATTAAAAACCGATGCACAGAATTATGTATCTTAGTGTAGTCTACTTGTGTGCCAAGTTATACTGAAATCGGACCAAATCTGTAGGAGGAGTAGCATTTTGAAAGAATTTCAAAGAAATTTCTATTTTTAGTTACCACGGCAACACCGTTCATCGAAATCAAAAACCGATGCACAGAATATGTATTTTAGTGTAGTCTACTTGTGTGCCAAGTAATATTGAAATTGGACCAAAACTGTAGGAGTAGCATTTTGAAAGAATTTCAAAGAAATTTCTATTTTTAGTAACCACGGCAACACCGTTCATCGAAATCAAAAACCGATGCATAAAATTATGTATCTTAGTGTAGTCTACTTGAGTGCCAAGTTATATTGAAATCGGACCAAAACTGTAGGAGGAGTAGCATTTTGAAAAATTGTTTACAGACAGACAGACGGACAGACAGACAGACGGACGGACGACGGACACATTACTATCGCATAAGCTCTTCTGGTCTCTGACCAGTAGAGCTAAAAATAAATGACTCTTAATCTCTTAAAGTTCAATGAATCTTCATAAAAGTTTGAGAGATTGAGAGGTTTGACAGATCAAAAGGAAAAGAATCTTTCTGACCTCACAGAGAAATTACGTCGAACGTTTATGACGTTTGAGGAACCTGTATTTATTAGGGATGGCAATAGAATACAGAATTGCTAATCGGTTAACCGAAATACGTTCTGACTGATTAACCAATTTTTAACACATTTTTTTTTTCAAACTTTGTACACTTTTTCTGGAATAGCTACACTGCATGCTGTCATAACATTACGTGATCCAAGTTTATAAGATGCTTTATAAGTGTATTTTAAAGTACGAAGGGTTATCAAAAAGTTCGTGGACTGAGGCTATAAAATCAGTACTATGTTGTCTGAGCTTACAAAATTTATAAGGAACATAAAACACCAACAAAAAAAGAAATATTGAAAATTTTATCTTGATACGTTCATTATTTCCCAAATTATTGTAAAATAAAAATGACATTATATGATCACCCGGCGCCATCGCCTTTTAGTTTCATGATGTCCGACAAGTCATTATTTTTCAATGTCCGCTTCTACCTTGTACACTTATTTTGATGCGATTCCCTAGAGCTGAGTAAGAACTTTAATCCATCTTGTTTATATGACTTAACAATGTCATGAACAGTGGCTTTCAATGCATATATTTTATTGCAAATTGATTTATATATTGGGAGAGATCCTCGCTTGATTGTGCCAGCATATTTTGTTTTTTGGAGTTCAATATAGCTAAAACACATGATCAATGTCAATATTTGACATGAATAATTTTTCAAACCTTGACTACAAATCGACATTAACTCTGCATTCCTTTTCTCTCTGAATCTATTTTGGCATTAAAAACAAGTAATCTGGAT